AAAGCACTGAGGTTGCGAAATCTACATAGAGAGGGGCAGACTTCGGTGTAGTGAGTGTGACGTCATCTCGGACAGATCCGAGGAATTCGTGGGGGCCGTCGGGGTGCTGAGTGAACGGGGCTGGTGGCTGCTGTCGGCCACCGTGGATATGTACTGAAGGGTGGTGGGCATGGATCTCTGCAGGAGCCCCCTGTATAGGAGGGGGATGGCCCGGCCATGGTTGCCTCTCATTAACCTTCTCCAAGTTGTCAGCAGCACTTGTGGAGCTAGCTGGGAGGTCATGATCTCTATTATAAGCATACCCGTTTGTTGATACCTCTTCCATCCTTTCCCTCTCCTCTGCCCCTTCATCTCCACTCATCCCTGAGCTGACGTTTCCGTTACCAGAACCCTCCTCTCCTGAGCTGCTGGAAGAGTCTTCCTCTTCCTCCCTGTCCCTGCGAGTTCGGCTCCACTTCCCCCGCCGTCTACGTTTCTCCTCTCGGCTCTGGTGCCTATCTCCTTCATACCTCCTTCCCCGTTTCCTTTCCTCACTCCTCGACCTTGACCTACTCCTTCGTCTTTTTCCTCTGTTCCCCCTCCGCCGTTCATCCTTCTCGCTGTCCCTCCGCCGAGGCCGAGACGAGCTGCTGTCATATGACCCTGACCTTTGACTGACAGGCCGGCTATCCTGGGAATCAGAGCGTCGACGCCGCTTTTCACCATTGGGTTGAAACTTCCGGTATTTTCTACTGTGTTTCTCCCCATGCTGCCAGGAGGGCTCCCCGCTCCACTCGTCATCTTTCTGCCAGCGACCATCTCTCCTCCCAAAGAACTCAGAGCCTCCATCCTCCTCCTCCTCTTCTTCTCCATCATAACCTTTACGTTTTCTCCCACTGCCAAATCGGAAACCCTGTTCTGAAGAGCCCGGATACCATCTACCTCGTCCTCTACCACGGTAAAATCTCCCTCCCCCTTCCTCCTCTCTCCCATTCTCAAAATATTCCTCCCCACCAAAACCCGTAGTTCCTCTGCCTCCCCTCCCTCCACGGCCACCATAATGAAAACCTCTCCCCCTGCCCCTCCCTCCCCCTCGGGACACAACGGACGTTGACCCCTCTCCCTCCACTCCAAACTTGGGCCCGGCGGGTCCCAGGAAGTCAAGGATGCTGATCTTCTTTTTGCTCTTGTCCTCCTCTGCTTCCTGTCTATTCCTCTCTTCCTCCTCCACCTTCCTCTTTGCTTCCTCCTCCTCCTCCTTCTTCAATGTTTTCTCCTTTTTTTCATCAAAGTTATGAGTCACCAAGCTGCCCATCATGGACCCATTTACTCGTCCATCTCGCTCTTCTTCATCAGTAACAGCACCTTCTTCTTCTTTCACAACAGGCGAGTCTTTATCAAATTTATCCTCCTGTGTCTTACCCATCTCCCCTGCATCCCCTCCACCCCCTCCCAGTTGAACCTCTCCCTGACTCTCACTCCTCTTCCGGAAGGTTCCCCTTTCCATCTCCTCAATGTGAATCGCGTTCACGTCAAGACCTCCACCACCCCCCTCCTCCTCCTCCTCCGCACACCCTCCTGCTGGGGGAGCCCACTCCTCCTCATCATCCACAATCTCCCCCTCCTCCTGGTCTCCCCCATCCCCTTCCTCCTCAACCGCCTCCCCAACAGATCTCACTTCTCCCTCCTCCCCACTATCACTTGCTTCCCCTTCCTCCCTCTCATAGCGGAAACCCACCTCGCCAGTGTCGATACTTCCTGTCTCCTCATCCTCTCCACTCTCAAAACCTGCCAGATTGCCCTTTGAGCTGACCAGGTAATCTAGATTTCTCTTCATGCGGCTGACCCGACCATGCCCTTCTACAGAGCTCATGGCATCCAGAGCTGACAGACTGGGTGCCAAGGACTGTGCAGACGAGGAAGGACCACTGGACAGTGCAGAAGAGGAAGGACCACTGTTGGAAAGACCCTGTGATGTTGATGGTTCCTCTGAGAAATCATCCACCTGCTCATTCTGAGTGTTGCGGGCACCATGCCTTTCTTCTGAGTCACCATCTGGGACTGAACTCAAATTTTGACCACCCAAACGGTCAGCACTTCCATCATCACAGAACACAGCAGAACTAGACGGGCCAGTCTCGCTTAGGTCACAACCATCGTCTGATGTTCGCTGGGCTGAAGACGACACCAAAGAATCTAGAAAACCCTCCGCCATGGTTTCACTCGCCCCACGGCTAGCTCCACCTCTCTTCTCCTCCACCATCTCATCTCCACTAGTATCCATCATCCCTTCAGTACCACCCATCGCCATCGTTGCTAACTCTTCATCAGAATCCGCTGATTTTGAAAAACTCGCCTCGGTCTCCACAGACTTCGATGAAGTGGAACTCTTTACTCGAGCCGTGCGCTTTTTGTCTCGTATTTCCCAGCTTATGGTCTTGTCAGATTTAGCTGTGACCTCAGAGGCTGAGGAGGATTTCTTGATTGGTGACTGCTTGACCTGCAGGGAGCTATCACTTCTGGCCTCAACACCGCTGGACTGTGCAGACGAGGACGGACTACTGTTGGATTGAGAACTACTTTTCGAACCTGCTGCATGTAGGGAACCTGGAGAAAAAATAAAAGTGGCTGAGTGGTTAGTGTGCTCAGGCTCACAATAATGTCAGGCATATGTCGATGACACAGCACTTTGGTGGGTGGTCAATGGGAGGGGTGTATCCTTCGTCACAACATAAAAACCCTGACTTAGTGGTTAGGCTCTCGGACTCGCAACCGTAAGGTTGTGGGTTCGAATCCCGTCAGGGGCCCGACGTTGTGTCCTTGGGAAAGGCACTTTGCACAAATTTTCCTCACTTCACCCAGGTGGAAATGGGTACCCGGCTATAAACAGTGAAAGACTTTGTCAGTTTGATAGTGTTTGAGCGCGTGAAATCCGCAGCTTGCACTGTATGCTTCCTCAGAAGCTGAGAATGTTTCTGAGTGTTCTCAGAGGGTCTGCTGGGGTAATAATAGTTGTAAAGCGCATAGAGCATGCTCTTGAGCATGGATGTGCGCTATATAAATGCAATTATTATTATTATTATTATTAAACAAGGTGCTGCGCACGGACGACCAGCAATGATTTGTTGACTGTATTGGTGTGCCATGGTGTACTGTCACGAAACATTGATAAATTATTGCATTGTCTTGCACTATGCCTGGGATCAATGAATAGGGAATACTAAACAATTTTTGTTTTAAATACTAAGACACAAACACAGACAACACTTGCAGCTATTGCTACACCAGTCTCCCAATCTGACTTGCAACAATTTCCTAATGCAGTTGACATTTCACCCTAATAGACCAAGCATAGGTAAATTTGAAGGTGAACGTTGGGTTCCCCATCCCATAAAATGAAATATTTCAGGAAGATGAAAATGAAATGAAAAAATTGGACCTATTCAGACTAAAAAAGAGCTGAAATTGTATGCCATAGACCTTTTTCATTGCCACAGTAGCACACATTTTCACACTGGTTGCTATTAGACTCTTGGGACACAATGTCCATTTCATTCCCATCTGCATCTCAAACATCATCTCAAGCAGACAAAGTCCTCATTAAGTCTAATTGTACTAGCCTGACAAAAAAATGAGTACAGCATTGTCTACAAGGGGGATCCAAGTCCAGTGGTTAAGACTAAGACTAAGATCCTGGGTTCTATTCCATGCACCCTTGGTTGAATACTGTGTCAATTGTTTTGGCTTTTCTGCTTATTGTCCTCAATTTATACAGCTGCTGCAAATGGGAACTTGGCTATTAGCAGCAACATATACGATAACATTTAAGTGCCTAACACTCTGTCACACTGTATGTCACTCAGGAATCTAAAATGACAAATTAGAAAGGCCAGAGGAAGCAAAAGGGCTACTGTCATGTTGTGAGAGCTTTCAGTTCATATGAACACTAGACTAGAAGCAATCACATTAGCTATACTGATAAGTTGGTTCCAAAAATGGAGTCTAAATACATACAGTGGCCCAGTACCCACTGTGGAGACTTACCGTCCCTCTTGATGATGACGTGCTTACTTCCCTTGGCCAGTAGGTCCTGGTTCTGCATGATGGAGCCCAACAGGTCAAAGCACGAAGCAGATGCTGCCGGGGCAGCAGACGGGGAAGATGTTGTCGCAGATGAGGAGGATTGTGCTACTGGGGGTTGCGGAACCACAATTTTCCTGTGCAGAGTGAACAAACCTGTTGGCATTTTGTCTCTAAAATAAAAGCATTGATAGTAGACTACAAGATGATTCACTATAGTTCAGAGTGTTTTGAGTAAAGAGGTTTTGTTTTTTTTAGTAAGAATTTTACAGCGCTCGCAACTGCGTAGGGTCATATGAGCACCAAGGGGTGAATGTCATCAGAGAAGTCCAAACGGGGAATCAGGCTTACTCTGCTCACCTCTCTAGCTTCAACAGCACAAAGTCTGCTTCGACTATCAAGGCACCCCAGAAAAAGCAGTTCACAAGAGAGTGACAAATATACAAAAGAAGTAGAGGAAAAATGACGATAGTAAGGATGAGGAAAGAAAAGCAGCAGTTCCCCCTAGGTTTGTTCCAACACAGTATGAGCATGACATTGATAAATCAGCCCATTTACAATTCTACTGTGCATAAGAACATGTTAACATCCCCCCTACAGGAATTTGAGAATACAGAAGCACATCAACACAACCATCATATAGTGCTGGGAAAAAGCAGGACAACGTATTTTCCACAGTCAAGATTTGCGACCTCTATATGGGGCTGGGGACTCCAGATTCCTAACGACAATCTGGACCGAACGGTAATCAACACCTGGATACAGGCAGATATACAACTACCGGCCCTGACCAGATGTGCTATAGACCAGACCAAAAGAGGTCGTAACATATCGGACCGCATGTGGCAAGCTGCCGCCCTCTGGAGGAGGCGGCCATAGAAAAAAAAAAAAAAAAGAAGCAAGACAGAGTAATAATAGAGGGTGAAAAAAGAAGTACTCACTCTTTTTTTTTAAATTCATGAACATCAAACAGTGTTCAACTGGTATTGCCGGTGGTTTTGATAAAAGCGTTTTGTTCAATTTTTCAAACAGAAGTTCTTTTACATTCAACATATGTCATTCACTAAAAACAGTATCAGAGCAGCTGTACTATAATTAATGTGAATGGTATCATTTTAGTGGCTCAAACAGGAGTGAACCTTCTTGTAAAGCCCATACTTTGCTAAGAGATAATACTTCCAAACTTAAGCTCTGTTATAAAGAAGTGAGGTATGGTAATGTATTCCATGCCCTTTTCAACTGAGTGAGACCCTATCCTATGATTGAAATATTTTTTGAAAACTCCCCAAACAACCCGTTACAAGAGCATATCATTGAGGATTTCAAACAGGGTCACGTGCACCGCAGTCCATCATTTTATGAACAGATGTGGAATAATAGGAGGAAGACATAAAGACAAGGAGGGAACAATAATAACCAGAAGCATTAGCTGCAATATCGATAGGAACACACTCAGGTAAAAAGACATGCTGTTGAGAGACAGTTTGTGCCAAGTTATCACTTTCAAGGCACATTTCAACATGTACAGATAAGGATAACAGTAACAATAAGAAGAAGCTGATCAAGACACTCGGGTTAAAAACTTGTAAATGGTCAACAAGTAAGTCTATCTAATCTTGTTTTCTCTTTTTCTTATTGTACATCTGTATTCCAAGGCAACGCACTTTGCCAGTTCTAATTGCGACCAAATCCTAAGTACAGGGTGATCCAATAAAAACTGTACAACTTTTTTCCTAAATATCTCGCACAAACTTTGTACTAGAATGTTATAATTTGAAACAGATATTATTCATTCATTTGTTTGACATAAAATTCACAAAAAATAAACTTACTTTCGAAAATGGAAAGGTTTTAATAAAAACCACCTAAAATGCAAAATGCACCAATTCGAAAGGTAAGGAAAATCATGAAATAATTGGTTGGTTCTTTCCTTTCCTTTGATTTTAAAATCTAATGTTTCCATCCCTGTAACCTTTAATCAATATTTCTTTTCTTCTCCAGATTATTTTTTTAAATTCCGGAATTCTGAGAGCAATGGTCTATATGTCCTCATTTGGACTCGACACATTTTAACGTGTCGTTCGTAAAGTTCAGAGGTGGCCAAACACAAGGATTCATTCAACCATGAGTACTCAAAGCCATTCACACTGTACACCTTACAGTATGGAGCTGTTTCTAGAGACAATAGGAGGGGGGATGAGGTTGCCCAAGTACACAGCATTTGTGGAGTTGATATAACCTGAAAGGTGAATTTAGGCTTTGCCAAGGAACCAAATGTCATAGAGGAAATGTTCACGCTTTTCAAACAATCAAGGAATCATGAACACATTGCCATCCTCTGATAGCTTCGCAAACAGGGAAATGGCTTATCTACTGAGTGTAGTACCCCGGTGACGTTTAAGGGGTGCAAACGGTGTGCGTTTGGCCTGAAATGGTTGTTTTGACTAGGAATTTTTCGCTCTGATTCTCTATAGGTCCTGATGGACCATTTCCACCCATGACAACAAAAAAGTCCTTAAGGGCACTTTAACATTTTGTCCGTACCTTGTGCGAAACTTACGAAATGAGTTGGGGTGAGAAGATGTTCAATACAAAAAGCTCTCTCCTCTTTATTGATCTTAACTATGATCCCAGTAGGTAAAGGAAACTTGAGGAAAACTATCTGCAAACTGCAGTAGTTTGCAATATAGCGCAATCGTTGGGATTTTTAGTGGTTGGCCTGATGCAAACTAGTGCGTCAAGCTACAAAAAATGAGGACAGCTGAAAATGGGTTGATTTTTTTACGCGCTACATAGAGCAAAACTATTCTGTGGATTTATCTATAATGAATATCCGACAAATTCCTTTGGACTTCCAAATGTTGTATACAACAGTGTGAATACTTCAGTGTGAAAGAAAATATTAACCAAAAAAAGTTCTACAGGTTGTTTTGGGATCACTCTGTATATCTGAAAAAGAAAAACCACACAACTTTATTACGTCAATATACAAATAAAGTACATCTCAAATAAAAGGAAGAGTGCGGAAAAATTCTCGCATTGAGCAGTATAAAAACTCACCGCTTGGTCGGAGCAAAACTGAGTGGTTTGTGAGAGGAAAGTGCTGAGCGAGACAGCAACGCTTTGGCCGGAATGGCTGGTCGGTTGACAGGCTGCCGCTCCTCACCTTCATGTCTGGGGGAGGAATTGTTAGAGTAAAGAGTCGGTGAAGGGGGAAAAGTAAGACAATTAGATAGAAACAACAGAAGGAAAAAAAGAAATACAGCAGACTTTGTGTAACACAAACCATGCAATACGAAATTCGGGTCAATGCAAACGATTTCAGATCCACAAATTTTTTTTCGCTCTTTATTCTATGCACTGTAACTTTCCTTAACATGTTCAAAAATTCCCAAAGATCTGATTAGCACAAAGAGATTTTGGGCAGTTTTATCATTCTTCTCGACGCTGACACTTCCTCTTTCTTTCTTTTTTTTGCTCAGGGTAGCCTACCAATGTCAATACACGTCACACAACGCCTTTTGTTTCACAGGACAGGAAAATGAGACACTTGGAAATGCCAACCATCCCTAATTTAAAAGGAAAAACACTTTGGTGCTGTTGTAGCTAGACACGACATACTTAAAGAGTTAGTAGTGTAGCCAAAGACATGACACACACTTAAGGACTGTTGTGGCCAAAGACATGAAACATACATAGTTGCTGTTGCCACAAAAAAAAAACGCCACATACTCAGCAAAACAGTAGAGTTCATCCTTCCTGCCTAGGATGGAGAACGAGGACATCTTGAAGTCGGAAAACCGCCCAGCGCCACCCGGCTCCACGCGACTGGCTCCGCTGGATGTCTTTTGAAGTGGAATGGATCGTCCGGCTGGGGGACGAGACAGACCTAGCTTGTCGGCAATACGACCTTTGACACTTGTTACTGGCGGTATGCGAGCCGTCCGAACCTGTCACGGCAAGACAAAAGAGAAAAGATAGATCAGTACAAGAAGCACATCAACGCAAAAGTGGTGATCTTGCAACACAAGGTCATATGAATATAAGTGCTGAAGATTAGAGGTGTTAAAAGAGAGTAACAAACACAAAAAAGAAAGAGAGATAAGGACGGTAAATGCTTTACAGGAAAGAAGGAGCAAACCACATCAGAGCATCTACCTACCACTTACAATGGTGATTTGCTTCAGGAAGGAATTTGCACCCCCTGACAGACAGCACACAGAGCTGTATGCACCATATTATTGCATTGATGTTTGAGAACAGTTAGATGTCAGAGTAATTTGTTTTTATGAGCACCATTTAGTATTGAGAAAAAGAAAGGCAGATAGAAACAACAGGAAGAAGAAAGAAGTAGGACCTAAAGATAATGCACATTCATAGAAAAAACAAACTGTACACATCATGTGGTAAAGTCATTAGCTGAAAATAAAAAAATTTCTCAAGATTCCGTAACCTAGTCTTCATCAGGACAGCCCCTGCTCATAGTGTTGCTTCCTTACATCATTCAGCATCTGTGGTGTAAAGGTTATGCTTTCATCATTGAAAGAAAAAAACAGGAGTTTCATTCTAGAGAGGGGAAAGTATTTTATTGACTATCTCCTGTCTGTTGGGATTTTGAATCATACTCAGCCAAGGTTGGCCAAGGCATGTATTGTTGAAGAAGCCGTTTAGATGACTTACCTTTCCAAATTATGTCAACAGGAGCATAAAAACATAATAACCACCAATACTCACAGCAGCCGGTGAGCTTCCAGTTGCTGACGACCTCCTTGTTGTTTTCTTGACCTTCCTTTTCTTGCGGCCTTTTCCTTTCCTTGTAGTCTTCCTCTTTCTCTTTGTCCCTGTCTTGCTTCCTGCTGTCTTCTTCTTGGTAGTTTTCCTTTTGCGTGTGGTTTTCCTCCGTGTTTTCTTTCTTGTCGTCCTTTTGCGAGTCGTTTTGCGTCTACGTGGAGCTGCTGCCCTTGTTGTTGACGAGGAGGTGGAAGGACCTGGTTCATTGTCACCCTGAATTTTAAAATTAAAATTAAAATTAAAAGATTTTTAACGACGGCATTCGTATCAATAAAAAAAATGCATGGACCCCAGCACTCATGCGAGTTTCAGGTTCACAGAAAAAAAACAAGCCACGAATTCAAAAACATGATGAGAGAAAATTACATGCTTTAAAAATGCTCAAATAACACCAATAATAAGTAGATAGTGCACACACTGAAACTCATAATAGGCGCAAACAATCAACGTTGGTGGCCATAACGAGTTACAAAACAAATGAATTTTTGTCTTAGTTTTTGTAAGTTTTAAGGCACTTGCAACAAAATAAGGTTAGATAAAGGCCAAAAACTAGAGGTGCTACTAGAAAGTAACATACAAGTAAAATAAGGGGGAGAGATAAGGACAATACATCTTAGACAGGATGATAGGAAAGAAGGAGCAAACTACACCAGAGCACCCGCAAACCGACCACAAAAGTGTTTTTGCAAACAGGGCAAATTCTGAAGCCCTAGCCCAGTAAGCTGACGAACCTCTCCCTCATCCTGGGCATCCATGGCTGCAGCCACACGCTCCTGTCTTTGAGCTCGCTCGATCCGGATATCTGCGATGATTCTACGCACGCGCTCACTGACCCTCGTGCGGGCTATCTGGCGTCGTAACTGCCTTGGCATCAGAAGATTGGCTGTGAAAAAAACCAAGTCATGAGGAATAACAGCATCGTGGGAAATGTCTCGGATTTTAAATAGTCAAGTAAAGTAACTGAAATATTTATCAATTGTTAACTAAATCAAAGTAACAAACTACATAACTCTGTGGTGCGATGGTTAAACTCTCTTTTCCTGTATACAGATAGCATGATTTCCATCCCGGCATGGGGAAGTCTATTTTCCCAAATATCTCATATTTCTGTCAGCACACTGTATCCTGCATAGCCTATGTTGGCCACGACAGGCAGGGTCTTTGACTTTGAGCAAAGAGACTCACATTGCCATGGTAACAGTGATTTAGAGCGTGGAAAAAGTAAGACAAATAGACACAGGGAACAAAAGAAGTAGAAAGACCTAGCAGTCGTGCTCTCCATCCAACAAACCACACAGGCTGGGCCAAAGCTGCCCACTTCCTTAATTATATAAATTGCATTGCGGTTTTAATTTTACTAAAGCGTTTTAAGCCACTTACAACGCAATGAGGTCAAATAGTGTCAAAGATTAGAGGTGTTACAAGACAGTAACACATACAAAAAAGGAAGGAGGGGAGATAAGGAAGATAGATGTTTGATAGGAAAGAAGGAGCAAACCACACCAGTGCGCCAGCCAACTGCCCACTTGCGTTGAATGAGGGTGTGCATGAAACATTTACCACCATTAACAGTCAACAGCAACAACAAGAGACCACCATTACAGGAAAAAGAGGTGGAAACCACCAGTGCAGGCACCAACCTTGGTCACGGGCCTGCTGACAGTCCGGGCAGAACCACTCATCCACCGGCACTTGTGCCAGCGGTGGGTCCAAACATTCACAGTGGTATCTGAGGTGGAGAAAAAAACAAAACAACACATATAATGAAAATCTTGACCTGGACAGATGGCTGCTGGAATCACACCCATGGACAGGACCCAAGTTTGAAACCTGCGGTGATGCCCAATGCCGCGTTTCTCAAAATAGATTAACTCCCAGCAGTTTTGCCTATTGTGGTTTTTTCATTTATGTTTCAGGGGTCCTCCATACCCTCAAACCTCATGCAATAATCTACCCACTCCAGATAGACATATTATATCAATAGAAAGGGAATTGGATGGTCTTTCAGACATAGCCAAAGGATTTCATTTTTTGTCAAGCTGTCATAAGTGGGACCTTTTTTTTCGTTACTAAAAATAGAAACAAAAACAGAAATCACACTATTCCAGCAATCACAAAGAAGGAAAAAAAAGTGTTTGAGAATTTAGAATTTGCAATTATTTCATGGAAAAGTGCATTCAGTTCTGCATATTAAGTGTCAAAGATACACAATTCTGTGGGAAAATAAAGAATGAGAGCATTCTAGTACATCCTACAATTCCTAGTTATTGCCCTTGAATCTGGAAATTTAATACAATCACGTTTTGCTCTCAAGCATCCTGCAATAACCTGTCTGTTCCAGATAGACATATCATTTACCAATAAAGGGAATTAGATGGTGTTTCAGACCTAACCAATAGATTTTATATTTATCAAGCTTTCTTGAGGAGTGACATATTTACCGTGTTACTAAAAATAGATGCAGAAACAGAAATCGGACTACCCCAACAATGACAAAGAAGAAACTAAAATATTTAACAATTTAGAGTTTACATTAATTTGATGAGAAAGTACATTCAATTCAGCATGTAATGTGTAAAAGACCCCTCATTCTGTTGAAAAATAAAGAAATGAGGACCTTTTTTGTGCATTCTACAAATTCTCGGTTATTGCCCTTGAAACTGGAAATTTCAAAGCGAGAATTTTATAATGAAGCCATCAATTTTAATATCTATTTTATATTTTTTAGGCTATTTAGTCACTTTTATTTGATAAAAACACCTTACAAAATCTTTCTTTTTAAACGTAAATGTATATTATCGGCAAAATACCACATCACCAGCCATCGTATATATTTCTAAGGTATAGTACTGCATGAACTGCTGGGAGTTAATGGATTTCTGTAATTCCCTCCCCCTGACACAACTTGAACAGAGTGAAATAAGACAAGAGGAGATAGGATTGAACAGAACAGGACAAGATGCATGTACAGTGAGTAGGGCTGGGTCACGAGCGCGAGAACGGAACTGAATCGCCACTCTTTCCTGCGGAACGCGATTCACGATTCACTTCAGCGGAACGCAGAACAGTATCGCCAAACGATTCCCGATTCATTCCCCTGTCGCTGTCACCACCCTGTGGCTAGTTCAACCTACTGTTGAGTCGTGAGTCGAGTCACGAGCGCAAGAACGGAACGGAACACTTAGTATGGCTCCCCTTATTTTACAAAAGATAGTATAGTCCAACCCCCCTGTTAAAACAAAATGAACGGGGTCCAACCAATAGACAGAAGGAATTTTATGGAGCCGTTGTTTTAGCGAATCATAGAGTTGGGGGGGGGGGGGGGGGGATTTATGGGGGTCACTAATTGAGGTCAGTTGATAGAGCAGCGCAACAAAGGGTGTGGGGCGGAGAAGATGGTGGAACAACAAGAGTGGGACTCGCGCTCGCCAAGAGGCGTTGATATGACACTGTTCCGTTTCAGTCAGTGTTCCGCCACAGTTCCACGAGCGCTCGCATACTCGCGATTCTTTAAAGCCGACTGAATCGCGAATCGCCACTCTCAAATTTCACGAGCAGGATCCAGCCCTAACAGTGAGGCAAGAATACACGAGGTAGGATAAGATATTATACACTGCTGATATACTCCACAGGAAGAAATAAAACATACTTTCCCTTGCTTCTATGAGACAAAATATAAATGTATAGCATCACTCACACCTACGCACAATTGCACGCAGGCACACATGCACGGACGCACACAAGCATGCAGGCACCCACACATTTGTGTACTCTACAATACAAGAAGGTCAATAACCTCCCCCATCTCCCTTCCCACCCTTCAGTCCCCTTCAGACTTTTTCACACAACAATCATTCAACAGTCACAAAATCAAACACACACACACACAAACATACACAAACAGAAACACACACATATACACATACACACAGAAACACACACACACACAAAGAAAAACACACACACACATAGAAAAACACACACACACAGACATACTAACCCCATGTCACATCCATCACACAGCAGTAGCCTGTCCTCTCTGTCCGCCTGACCACACACCTCACAGTACGTCGGGTCATCTTCCTCTTGCTCCTCCTCTGCCTGGCTCCGATTTTCCACAGGAATCTGAGAAAGGGACAAAGTAAAATACAAATCACAAGTTAATAATAATAATAATAATAATAATAATAATAATAATAATAATAATAATAATAATAAAAATAACAGTTCATCCGTCAATTTCTGATAATGACCATTGCACCCGCAGCGGAGAATTTAAAAATATTTTTAAAAAGAGAAATAGAAGAATTAAAGGTTAAGATGACTTGTGGCTTCTCCGATGGTCAAGGAGACCAATTCTGGTAGAAAAAAGATTTCCACATTTTGAGCTTTCGAAAGTCCACTTCTACTTGTGAATGTGAGCAGCTTTCGGGCTTCTCTCTTGATTTCAGCATTTTTTATTCGTGAAGCCTCACTACATAAACAAAAATCAAAAATACAATCTACCAAAGGCAAACTACAGCCATCCACCTGGGGAGAAAATACAAAGTACAAAACAGTAATTCAGTAATAGCAACAGCAATAGAACAAAACCCTGTTCATTTTCTACTGATTACCTACATAAACATTTGACATGGACTGTCAGTACATAAAATAAAGCTTAATAAAGGACAACTACGACAGCAGCAACCATGAACACCACCAGCAACAACACAACAACAAATACAACAACAGCAAACAATAACCAAAACCACCACCAAGAACAAAAAAAACCCCACAGAAAATCCCGATTAACAACGACAACAACAGCACCATCATAATCGCCACCACTAACAACAAATTTTGAAACACCACTTCCAGCAAAAATTTCTACTCCATCACCATCACCACCACCACCTCCAAGACTACAACCATCATAACCAGGGGCGAAGGCCGACTTGTTTGACAGGGTAATCAAAGTGAAATGGGACCAGATAGGGCCTGTAGATATCACACAAGAATCTTACTCGAGGCAGCGACTCTGAGTTGTGAATGAAAACAAATCCGGAATTCATATTGTATGTTCAACCGCCAAAATAATCGGGAAAGTATCTTATTAAATATCAGTTCCCACTAAAATTAAACTTAACTTTAGATGTGAATACATAAACATAAAGCAAAGAAGCAGAGATGTCAGTACTAGATCTATATGTTATAGATCTACCAGTGAGTCTAACTCTTTGGTAGAACATGACAATCAGTATTTTTTAAATTTCACATTTGGCTGTTTTTGTTAGCCTTTCGCGGCCAGGAGCTGGTGTCATAATCGAGGTCACGATCTGATTATAGGACGGTAAAAAGTCGAGGAAAAAAAACAAGCACAAGCAGCAGTCAAGAGATTGTTAAGAGTTAGTTCCCCTCACATTTGTGAGGTAGACTCGACCAGTGTTAGTTAGCTTACTTAATCAGGGCTGGTGATTGATTTTAACTGTGGCCCCAAAGGGGTGAACAGGGTATATGTGGCAATGAAACAGCTTTGACTGCCATGCACATGTTCCCTTCAACTCTATTCCAGCCTCACTTTATTTGTTGATTACGAACGTCTTTTGACATTTAATTTATGAGGTTTACGTTTAAGGATGAATTTGACAGCGACAATGTTTCAAAATTAGAAAGGGAAGCAGTGATTATTTGATTATATAGACGCTTCGCCCCTGATCATAACAACACAATCCCATCAACCACTGACCTGTTTGAAGATGATCTCCTCCCCGACATGCCGAGCCAGGATGAGATGAAACACTTGCCTGTCCACGGGACACGTATTCACGTTCTGCAGAGCACAACGGTTATTCTGTACAGGGCAATACACAAGTTTTCTCCCAAAGTCAGAGAGCATAGCAACGTTTTGAAAAGAGACACATGTATGAGTCACGGTGTGGTGGAATCAGCCGCTCGTCAATTTTTTGGGGCATATGGGGTAATTGGTATCATCTTAAAACCTGTTCTTTTGCCTTCCTTTTGGGGAAAAATATATCCATCTATGTTGAATAGAAGTTGAAATGTTTGCGATTGAAAGAGGTCAGGGTCGTCTGGTTCCAGAAGTAAAATTAGCAAGAAAATGGCCTCCATAATTTGGTTGTTGTTGTTACCGATCCAGCAACAGCTGGGCTCTCGCCCTTCTGTACAATGCCAAGTAGTGATAAGTGCAGGACTCCATAATTTGGTAACTTCAATAGTCTGAGAGTCCTTGGAAACTGACAATTTACATTTTTTCTACCTTTAATTAATGTTTTCCAGTAAAATCCACACAAAAATGTGTTTTTAAATGGACGAAAAAGGTGTTGAGCCAAAAAAAAAAAGAAAATTAGAAAAAAATTGCCAATCGCACAAAAAACGGCACTGAATTTCACAACGATGCCTCACATATGACAGATTCTTTTACTGAGCAGTCGATAGGCTTTCAATATAGACAACTTCTCTCCCGAGATTCTAGCACATGACATCTCAGGCCACAGGTGAAACCCTCGGTAAAGAGAATTCTCTATTCTCATATATTGAGTATAACACAGATAAGTCGAACACAGAAGACTCGAAATCACACATTCGTCAAACTGTGCCTGCGGTCCGGTATTTATTTTTTTTCTTTATCCTTGAAAGAAATCCCTCGAACTACGAATCCCTTGAACTACAGAGGCCAGTCCCGACGAATTCAAGCTATCTGTGTTATTATACTGTATATATATTTCTACCACCACAGTCGCGAGTAATCCCATTGTATTTTACTCCCCCTCTTGCTAGAGCAACAAAATGAGCCATGCTCAAATTGTGGGCATTGCATAAGTGCCTCCTGTTCTCCATACATGAAAATAAACAACACTAACAGAGAACACATTTTAAATCAGGTTTTTCAACTGAAAAAGGAAAATATCAAATAAATTCTATACAGTACATCAAGAAATCAGTCGAGTGAACCATGTCATTGATGACAGAACCTACCATTAATCATATATTTCCATCTCCTACAGCAAAAATGAAACCATCTCCCTCTCCTTCACCCTCTTTCCCCTTCCCTCCCCCCCCCCCTCCCTCCCTCCCTCCCCCCCCCCCTCTCTCTCTCTCTCTCTCTCTCTCTCTCTCTCTCTCTCTCTCTCTCTCTCTCTCTCTTTCCCTCCCTCCCTCCCTCCCTCCACACACCTTGGCCCACTCCTGTATACACTCTAGGCAGAAGCTGTGGTCACATGACTCAGGTGTGCCAATGTCCTGAAGACGGAACTTGTTCAGACAAATGGGACATACATCGCCGTCTTCTCCATCAGACTCGCTTTCTTCAATCATTGCAGCCTCACCGCCCTCTTCCTCTCCTTCCTCCTCCTCTCCTTCTTCTTCCTCTTCTTCACCATCATCATCATCGTCATCATCATCTTCTTCTCCTTCTTCTGCATCAGACTCACCCTCTGAAAAACAAGAATAGCAAAAACTGTTTCAGGTTTTAGCAGAAGACAACACAGGCTACAGCTCTTCACATAATTTTATCTCATTACACATGCATGTAGTCACAAACAGATGCCGAGTTAGCCTAGAGCCCTTTCTTTCTGATCGCCAACGCCAAGCTGTCAACATCGCTACCACTAGCCCTTGAGAAAGAAACCTGATTCAATTTTCAATCAAGTGAGACCAAGAGGTCATGTTGAACAAAATCGTCATCAGGGGAGATAAAAAAAAAAATAGACAACGCCAAACTCATAGATTGGGTCTACTTTATTATTTCCCTGGAATTAATTACTAGATCCCTTGTAACGTGAATCCTGCTTTAACTGATATTTTGCTCCAGTCCCTTCCCTCTCGTTATAACTAACAGCATTCCACTGTATTAGTGTCCCATTGTATGGGTTTTAATCCACTTTCAACACTGTACGGTTATTCAAGAGAAAAGACCTCCAAATATAACATCCATCTACAATAGCTTCGAGTCATATTTTAGTATATGGTCTCCCCTAATTCTACTGGAGTCGTTTTTGCTTCACTTTTCCGATCCAGCAGACATCTGAGTTTGAACGCTTCGGCCTTAAACTGGAGATCAAGAACACCTCTTTGGGGATTTAAACCAAGGTCAACTGCACCATAGTGAAGCATCACACTGAGCTAAGTACGCACCTGTACATTACATTGTAGTTGCAGTGGAGCAGATATAATATGATACAGTGGAATCCATTTATAACGAGTCCTCAAATAACGAGTTATAAAGACACTATTCTAAAACCCCGTTTTTCTCCCTTCTTTAACTTTGTACATAAAATACTGCTATAACGCAATCAGACAAACACGCGAATATAGCTGCTGCTGTGCACAGTGCATTTACAGGCCATTTACTCATATGTAAAACCTCGCCAGTTGAGAAATTTGTTGGTTGTCTAGCGAAACAGAATGGGAGAGCCCACGTGTGCCAACAATAAAGGCCGGATCTAATGAGTGAGGAGAGTGTGGCATGCACAGACAAGCAGAACGCATCGTGTGATAGGCCAGCCTAGTTTAGATTATCACTTCTTCGATGCGGGGACAGAGAGGTCACAAAGCTGTACTGTGATGGACGAGCGAATGTGTGACGTGGACGGGATGTGGTATGTTCCCATTGTGCGCAAGCAGACGAAACGCACCACAGGATGTGGTGGGGTGGGGGACAACACAGCGGGCAAGTTAGCCGAGAGAACTTTCTTTCTTATTGTCAATATCGCTAGCGCTAGAGAAAGAAACCTGATTCGACTTTTGATCAAGTCAGACTTAAGGTCATGTTGAACCAAATCATCATCATCAGGGGGAGATTACAAAAAGAAATAAACCGAAAACCAGACTCATAGATTCGGCCTACTTTATTATTTCCCTTGAATTTATTACTGGATCCCTTATAACGAGAATCCTGCTTTAACAGACATTTGGCACCGGTCCCCTCTCTCATTATCACAGGATTCCACTGTATACCACAGCTTACCTTCTTCTCCTCCTCCTCCTTCTTCTCCATCTTCCTCTCCTTCATCTGACTCCTCCTCCTCCTCACTGCCACTTTCCTCCTCTGTGGACTCTCCATCCTCCTCCTCTTCTTCCTCCTCCTCCCCCTCCCCAGCCTGATCTTCTGGGTCATTGTCACCCAGCTGCTCCATGTTGAGTTCTTCACCAGTCGTCGACATGGTGGCTGATGTTACACTTTGTACAATCTGTCTCTCTTCACCTGTAAAGTAATTTATTTGTTTGAGTAATCAGAAACACATCAATGCAATAACAGTCATTTAGTGAAGGGGGTACAGTATAACAGACAGAAACAACAGAGGGAAAAGAAAAGAAGTCGAAGCTACAAATAGTGCTTTCCCAAATTCCCATTTGTTTAGACTAGGTTTTTTTCTTCTAATTTTAGTAAGAGTTATACGGCACTTGCAAAAGATGAAAATAAGTGGTGGAGACTAGAAGTGTTACTAGGGTGTAACATACAGATAAAAGGAGGAGAGATAAGAACTATACAGGTCTGAAAGGAAAGAATGAGCAAAAACCAAACCAGAGCATATATACATTGTACGAACCACCACCCTTCACATATGTGAGAGCAAGATTGGAAGAGAGTTTCGACCAACAGTACAAACATCAATTTCGATTTGGTTTGGTTTGTGTAACAAAAAGCCCAACAACACACTAGCCGTCATTTAGGACTAGGGAAAAGCGGGATATACACACAGAAACAATAGACGAGTGAAAAGAAGAGCCTAACCAGGGACGCCTTCCAACCACCCATGCCATGACAAGCACCACTTTACTTTGCACCCATCCATCCTTCGACAGAAAGAGAGAAACCTTCTACTGACTTCACATGTCACATTACAGTAACTCATGAGGTTGGCAGGTTCATTCCCACAAATTTACCACCTTAGTCACAGTCCTGTTACTTGTGAATAGAGAATTAGAGTTGCAACCTGTTAGGCCACTTTCGTTCGCAAATTCCATCTCTCCCAAAGTTGACATACTCATTTGCAGAGCAGCTAGGGACAAGGAACATAACGAAAACACTGACCTACCAGGGAATTAAACTCATTATTTTTTAAATTGTAAGTCAAGTTCAATGATGAACCAACACATTAGAGTTAGTGCACATCATGTACTAAGAAAATGTAAAATAATGAGTACTTGGTAGTTAAGCACAATGCTATGGTCAATTATCAATAGGACACATCAAAACCGATAGACAAAACCTGGAGAAATAGAACCAAATTGACACCCTCTAATTGCCTCTATAGAAATGATACTAATAATTGTAATAATAGAATGGAACTAAAGAGAGATCGTTCACAAGAGGCTTGTGGCAGACACAGCTGAGTGACTGCTGCCGAAGTCAATTCAATACAATAAAGACAGCCATACTGCACCAGGAACAGATCTAAAAAGGAAATATTGAGTTAGTTTTATGGTGCCTTATGACAGCCCTCGGACAGCCAGTTTTAGTTCCGTTTTGAAGTAGAAGCACACCGCAATAACAAAAAGACATTTAGTGCAGGTAAAAAGTAATAAGCAAGATCGACAAAAACAAAGGAGAACAGGAAACTAGGATTTTTTTCTTTTTTCATAAGAGTTTTACAGCACTTGCAACACAATAACTTGAATAAGGTAATATAAGTGCCGAAGATTAGAGGTGTTACAAGGGAGTAACAAACATGAAAAAGGAGGGGAAATAAAGACGATAGAGGTTGGATAGGGAAAGAAGGAGCAAACCACACCAGAGCACCCGCCAAACTAGGATCTACCACCAGTGGTGCCATCCAAATACCAGAGGTGCCACCAAAGTCCAAGTTATTCCTACATAATATATCCAACCATCAGGTTCGAGAGTGGAAACTCGAGGGGAGCACTGTCTAGACCTGTTAGAACAGGGACAATCAAGGTGGGG